GTGCTTATCCTTATCTAAATAATAATAATCAGTCATCTTTTCAAAATTATCATCTGTTATGAACGAATACATGAAAATAATGGAAGATTTGTTATCGCAGTTTTAATCTTTATATGTTACTTGGCACTTTTTTCATGATAAACAGATTCAACATCAACCAATCATATACTGAAAAAGTCGAATTCAACTACCAGTAGAATTATACATATTCAAATCTATCATACTGAAAATATTTTCTTTAGATCGCTCAATCATGAAAACAAAACCTTCTCATCTTGATAAAGTTCCAGTGTCGTTTGATGTGTCTGGTAAGATCTTACATTTATGACTGTCATAGTTTTCGAAACGAGCAATGTGGAACTAGTTTTCTACATATTTCCTTTCTATCTGTGTGTATATGATAATGTCTCTTTTCTAGATGATCATCTGAATGACTTATCAGACAAGTATATACTTAAATCTCAATCAACAAATGTTATCATAAGTGACGATGAAGACAATGCATTAGATGAATGCAATGATATATTAATATCTTTGAGACCATTGCCATTAATATCAGGAATCAAGCAAAGATATAAATCCAGTTCATCTGTGAGTTGCTCATGAACAGTCTGCCAATGCAACTTATAACACATTTGTAGTAAAACAGAGAACCTGCCAATTTATATTATCGTGCTGCGATGAATATTGCTGATTTAAGACGCATCGAAGAGAGCGATAGCTTTTTTTTTAAATTGAACAAAATAAGCATAGGTGTTAATTGGCATATACGTCTACATTTAAGCTCTTTCTGTGAAAATAAGCAGCGTTATATTAGTATAGATGTAAAACCAAAATCTTAAAAGCCAGAAAAAGTAAAATTAATAGAAATTCACAATAATGAGCTGACGAAAGCAAATAATGTTCAACTGAGTTTGTGAAAAGGTAGAAGCAACAAATGCGTGTGTCAATGCTATACAAAGATAAATTAAATAATTGCAATCTATATGTGTTTGGACATTATCATTTTAGATAATCCTAATTTCGACTAAATAAATTGACAACAATATCAGAACGAAAGAAGAAGAAGAAGACAATGAAGTTTTGTCTTATTCTCACAAAAAAGTTATGATTAAATTGAAGCGATACGAAGAGGATCGATAAGTTACTTGCCAAATATTTGAGTAAATCCTTGCTCTTCGTGAACGTCATGAAAAGACACAAAAATTTATCTTGGAAAATTGAAAACCATCAAGAAAACACTGTGAAAAATAAAGTGAGTTTAATAGCCATGAAACTCTTTCAAATATAATTCGTTAATTCAAAGTTTTATTGGCATAGAAGAATCAGATTTTTCTTCGTAAAACTCTAAAACAAGCAACATCGAAAATTCTTTTTCTTCTGAATTGGTAAGCCGCACGGTTTTTAAATATGATTACATAGTTTTCTATTGATTTGTTTGGTGTACTTTATTGACAACGGTAGCACAGTCCTTAATACACTACCTATTCCTGATAATAAAACAAAAAACTTCTTGTCTTCTCAAATTAGTCAAAATTCTTTTTCTTAGGATCAATTAATCGAGCCTGACCCATGATAAAGAAAAAAGAAATTCTTCAACATCCAAGCTATTTATTTATAAAAGGTTTGTTGCAATGTTTCTTCAACTGAAGAAAAAAAGTTGAGCGCTTTCATCAAAGTTACGAAAAGAGTTTTCAATAAAATATTCATATGAAAGATCTTTCTTGAATAGAATCTAATGTTCAATCTTTCATAATATTTAATGCATCTAAAAGAGATTTTATATGGGGCTTCAATTTTAGAAACTGTACGATGTAAATTCAAGCTATTATTACAACAGCTGCAAAATTGAATGACTGAGTTTTCATGAAACTATTTAAACAAGACAAGAAACTGGATGAAAAATGTATCTCAATCTGTCATAGGTAATACTGGATGAGTCATAATGATTGCAACATTTAGTATTTTGCAAATATCTTAGCAGAGATAAATCATATAATCTTGATTCTTTTTTGAAAAGATGCACCGTGGAAAGCTCTACAAAAGTTGTAAGGGCAAATTTCTATTGACTTCTTCTAATGATGTCTCCAATATTGAAAATGAATAGATCACATGATGGTGCTATGTCCCACCGTATTAAATATTTGAAAGACTTTTTTGTTTTGAAAATATCTCGCCTTGAGAAAATGACAAAATCTTCACTCTTTGTTCAGAAGATGCGCCGTCGAAAGCTCTATAAACACTATATGAATAAATCCCTATTGACTTGCTCTGATGACTTTTCTAGTTGATTAAAATAAAAGAGCTGCTTGATGTTGTAACTGAGTGTTCAAAAATATTTGCAATATTGTTTATTTCGTATAAATCTCGGCGTAAGAAAATGCCAGAATCTAGGTTTTCTTCTCAAACGATGCGCCGTGAAAAGCTCTACAAAAACTGTAGAACAAATCCCTGTTGACTTCCTCTGATGGTGTCTCGGTTACTCAAAGTGAATAGGTCACATGACGATGCTATCTCGCACCATATTTAGCATAACAAAAATATGTGAAAGACTTTTTTATTTTGCAAATATCTCGACTTGAGAAAATTATAACGTTTTGATTTGTTTTTCAAGAGATGCGCCGTCGAAAGCTGTACAAAAGCTATATGAACAACTTTCTATTGCAAAACAGAAAAGTGTTCCAAATATTTAATACGGTGGGACATAGCACTATCATGTGAGCTATTCATTGTCAATATGGAAGACATCATCAGAAGGAAGACAATAGAGATTTTCTTTTACAATTTTTGTAGAGCTTTCCACGGCGCATCTTTTAAAAAAAGAATGAAAATTATATGATTTATCTCTGCTGAGATATTTGCAAAATACTGAATGTTGCAATTATTTTGACTCACCCGGTATAACAATTTGTAGTCACAACTCTACCTAAAACATTATCTGAAGTGTCTTTAAAAAGCGAATGGACAGTAACGAAAGACAGAGAGCCATTCCTAATTGTTGATGAGACACGTGAGATCCTCTTCTTTTTTAAGAATGAAACTTATTTTGTCTTTTAGATGACAATGGATATATCGTTATCTTTGCTTCCGAATGGAGTCTTAAATATTTGTCTTCTTGCTTGAAAAGGTATTCGGATGGAAAAGCTTTCACGCTACCTTTATTATCTACTCATATTTATATTATCTTTGGATATTTCGATGGTTATATGATGTTATGCGTCTACTGTCTCCCATTCCTAAGTTATCGTACGAACATTTATTTTCATCCAGAGACTCTCACTTGTAACTTCGAAATAGCCGCCATGAATGCTTTCTCACAAATATTTTCGAACACAACGATTACCGATTGCTTTTTTCATTACGCTCAAAGACTTAGGTAAAAAGCTCAAGATTTAAAATGTCCACGACTATCGAAACACAATTCTAATGGTAAAGACTTTTCGGATGAGAAAGCTATGAGAGCTATGCATTGGTTTTTGACAGCGGTAGATGTAGCTCTTGTTTCGTCATCTCTGGTAGAATTGGCATGGACTGAGATGATGGATGTTTATATCCCTGAATGTTGTGGTGCTCAAGAATTTGATGATTACATCATGAAAAATTATATTTGCTAAGAATTCACACGCTTCTTCATTGATATTTGGAACTTCTATGACAATATTCGAAACAAGTTACCTCGCACCAATAATGTAGTTGAAGGCTACAATTTTCGGATGTCTACCATCTAGCCTCGACATTATTATATTTACCAATTTATCCGCCATCTCAAGAACGAACATGAATATCAACAGCATAAATTGAAAGAAAGCTAAGTAAAGTAAAAAAAGGAAAGAATTTTTATGATAAAATGAATGAAAAAACTGATCAATCTATCCCAAGCATATGATAGAGGAAGCTCAATAAAGTGCAACAGACGATCAAATCCGGTAGCAAGGTAAAAAATTCTTTAACGAAGAAGTATGATTTATTGTGCTATGATTGCTCTTTTTCTTCTTTCTTTCTTCCTTACATATGTCACTTACTCTTTCAACATATATGAAAAACAATAAACTATCTCTCTTATTCAGTGCATTTATCTTAATTATTTGGCACATAGGGACAAAATTAGAGATGGACAGAGTTTAAAATCGATTTTTTTCGGCATGGGCCGAATCTGAAAAAAATTTAGTTGGGACAAATCAATCAGGAACCAGTTTAGGCAACACCATCCATAGTCGCATACACGACCAAACAATTCATTTCAATTTGAAAATGAGAGAAAAGCAATCCATAGCCTGTTGTGTGTTAAGGATTAGTATGTATTTTCATATGCCAGTAGACTACCTTAGATTTGATTACTGAATTTACACTCATAGAAGACAACAAGTATTGATCATTTAGTTTAGATAGAGCATATGGTTTTTTTGAAAAATATTATTTTTGTGCACAAAGTCCTCAATCTCTTTCATAGAATACTTAATGTTTTGTTTCTTTGAAAAGGAAAACATTTGCAGTAATGTTTCCTTGCAAATGCCGATTAAGCGGTCAATATTGTAAATCATTTTTCGACTTAATTTTACACTTTTTTGTAATTATTTTGTACAGAAGAGAAAACTACATGATGTACATGAAAATTAGTGTGGGGTCTTTTACAATGACTGCATCACAGTTAATATTCTATAAAAAATTGGCATACATTTCCTTTTCTTATGTGTAGAATTTCTTCAAGTTTATAGAGCTTGCTGAGAAAGAAAAACGTCCAATTAAATTCATGATGAGAATAGTACAAAAGACCTTTCTAAAAATAAAATTTCAAGATATATGGATCACAAATTTACTATCGCCAAGCTTTTCCTCTGGTCAGAATAAGTTTCTATTGATATCAAGCAATGTCGTTACTTCAGACTCTATTTAGCTAACATTTGTGTTTTGTGGAAACAATAAAATATGTTCGAATCATGCAAAAATATTTTATAAATATAAAGTTTTCAAAATTAGGAAAATATACAATGTCATCTATTTTAAGTAAATAATTTGCGAATAAATTCAGTGACCGTTGTAGAAATTTTTGACGGGCGTAACTTTGTATCTGACTCTTCCATTGCTAAACTGATAACACCACAAGCTATACGTGCACCAGCATTTCTAAAAAAATGTAAGATTTATGCAAGATTTGCGCACAATATTAAATAAATACCCAGTTGTATTACTATCTGGAAAACCACCTTTTCCACCATCGTCTCTCATGGCGTGTAAAACAATTGTTCGATTAGCAATTGATCGTGTAGCATTGTATAAATCAATAATTGAATCACTCAATTCAACAATAATTATGCCTTGATCATTTGCAGTTAAATTGCCAAGATCACCAACATGTCGTTGTTGTAAATCAGCTTCACGTGGACCATGTAATGTGCCTAGATAGACAGAATAAATCGCATGTTGTTTATTAAAGATTGCTTTATTTTACCGTAAGGATTAAAATGAGGACCAGCAGCCGTGCAATTAAGTTCACCATTCATTAACGGATCTCTATGTACATGAAAGCCCTGAAGAAAATAATTATTTATTTACTGTCTCTTTCTATATAAAACATACATGAACAGTATTATTCTTAAGGCCATCCAGTATACCAACAACGCGAACGGGAGAATTAACGTCACGTTGATGGAATAATATAGTACCAACTGCAATTGTAGTAGAATCTACATGAAGATTCGCTGTTGCTATCATGGCACTCTGTCCATCTTGGATAAGTAAGCAAAACAAAATGGTAAAAACCGAAAGTTTCATGCTTAAAGAAGAGATAGTTTCAATTATAAATAGTTTATCTATTTAAATGTAACCAAAACGAGTCTATTTAAAGTAAAAGCTTATCAGTGTAGCTCCGAGTTTGATTTAAAGGGGTGCCTTCTTTATCTATGATTCTTAAATTTTTTTGACGCATATTTTATTATAAGAAAAAGATAAAAACAGTAATTAATCAATCGACACAAAAAAAACTTAAATACTATTGTTTTATAGTTCAAATTGATAATATGCATGATATAACGATTGAAATGTTTTTTTTTTCGCTTATATATGATGTTGTATATATCTAATACCGAATTTTGAAATCGACTATCATTGCGGTTACTAGAACAAACATAACAAAATGAATATGGAGTCCAACTAAAGGTGTTGACATAGTCGTTTAAGTTACTTCGGTGAGTTTCAGTGTTGCTTGCACATCATGAGGCAATACTTTGATCAAACCAAAATAAATTCGAACACGAGCAGTTTTACTTAAATAACAAAATGAGATTTTTTACGAACTACGAAATCATACCTGGTTGCAGTACTATCAGGAAATCCAACTTTCCCGCTATTATCACGAAGAAGATGTATAATAATAGTTCGATTGGCAGTTGATGGTGTCGCATTATTTAATTGAATAATACAATCTTTCATATCAATATTAACAGTACCATTCTCATTAGTTGTTAAATTTCCAAGATTTCCAACTTGTTAATTTCTTATATTAGCCGGAGAAGAACCATGAGTAGTATCTATAGAAAACAAAAAAAATTCTACCTAAATTAATTATTTCAATCTCTTACTATAAGGATTAAAATGACCACCAGCTGCTGTACAGTTGAGCATACTTTTTGAGACTGGATATACATGAACATGAAAACCCTAAAATTAAAAAAAAGAATAACACAAAGATTTATTTCTTTTTTTATTATGCACGACATATATATGCATTACTAGCATTATGTCCTGCAAGTTCACCAGTAATACGAACAGATGTAGTAGCATTCTCTTGTTTGAATGTCAAAATTTCATAAGACGTTTCTGAATTATCAGCGTATAGAATAGCTGTAGTTTTCATGACACATTTTGTTCTTGATGAATCAACAAGAATAAAGAACTTAAGGTTAACATAAACATGATATGTAATTTAATATGATAGAAATAAAACAAAGATTATTAAATCCAAATCTAATTTTGATATCTCAAGAAGAGAATTTCTATATACAAGTTTTACAAATATACTCTGAAATAAATTCAAGATAAAAGTTTTAAAAAAAAACATCATCAAAGAAAGAAAAAAGATTAGGCATTTAGAGAGGCGTAGATGAATTTGTTTTAGCTAATAGATACGAAGTAAAAAAAAAAGAACATGATGATATGATGAATTTCATCCGAAAATTGACGAAAACGGCAACATAAAGAATGAAACGACTAATGAAACAATTGTCAATATAATTAAAAATCAAACTTATTGTTTTTTTCATTCATTTTTTTTCTTTCTTCCACTTCTTTTGGTCAAGGTCTATCAAGAGATAATAAAATAGTTATATGTTATTTATACTAGTCAAAAATACTGGGGACAAATACGTTTGTTTCATTCTTTTCTTTTTATAGCTTATCGTATTGATATCAAACCATTATTTGTGTTTTTCTTTTCTTCTGTTACTATGATACTTCATTGTATTTCTCATCTGACAGAAAAATACTAAAAATACTCTCGCTCTTTTCTTGTTAAGATTATATCTATAGAATTAAGAGACAGATAATAGCCGGTGATTGAAAGTATAATAATCATCATCGAGCAATCAACATTAACTTGAACGACAACGAATCATAATGAAAATAACTACAAAGACTAAGGTTAGAATTGATTATAGATTTATAAAAGAGCAGTCATGACAAATAGTAACAAAACAAAATGAGTACACCATAAAGACGATAAATAGAATGAGAATGAGTTTGTTCTCGAGAAAAATATGTGTACTATAATAAAACACTAAGAAAGTAACAGATAAAAATTATTTAATAAGATTGTTCGTTGTAATACTTTCTTTCGATAAACAGATTCATTTGGCTGAAATTTTAAATAACATAACGATTCTAGTGAAATATTCTTTTTGAATAAAAATTTTAGTTTGACATATCGTAGCAGATCTATAGGTTTATTCTAATTCTTCATAAAATCTATAAAGCTTCATTGTCCTCACGAGTATAGGACTTAGACTTTTTTCAAATGACAGTTAAGAATTTCACGTAGTTTTTATTCGAATAGAAAAACCTTTCGGAACGGGAGACGCATATATGCGTCTTTCATCCTGGAACACTTCAAATCTATGGATGCGTAATAATTATTATTTATGTGTTTCACATTACTCTATAATTTCCTACGGATGCCATTTATATGAGCCGTACCAGTCTTTGAAAGATGTATAAAGCTGATTAGAAAGAAAAATTAATTCACTTCAATTAAATCCGTGTTTCATTATTTCGCTTGACAACAAGAATCTTGTCTTGAAAGGGTTAATTCAGTGTAGATGTTTTCTTTTTTTTTTCTAGTTTTCTGTTCGAGGTTATTTGATTATTGAATTGACAATTTTCGTTTACTGAACATTACAAATTGTCAAGAATGACTGCTACATAAAAAAGAATGAAGTAGGATTTTTCACAGTTTTCTCATCTACATTTACCTCCATTCTGTCGACGTCAAGTTTCGGAGTTCGATACAAGGCTCTAATATTTACCAAAAGGAAAAATTCGGTTGTGCAAGAGAAGTGCATTGGCACTGATTCGCATTTTCACTTGCCATAGGCTATGTGTATATTGACTTATATTTATAATGCTTCTATTTTTTTAATATTATTTGTTAGATTTCTGGATTTTTCTGTATTGACATTATTTTCCTTTTATTTACCTAATTTTTGTACAATTGTATCCTTTTTTTTACTCTACTATCATTATTCATACTTCTTATAACAATGTTGAGACTAAAAGATTATTAAAAAATTTAAAATGTGACATTTGATATATCATATATCAAGGTTTTCTTGATACACTGATGAAGTCATTATAACAAAAAAGTTTTTTTTTTTTTTATTAAAAACTACACAAATACCATTATTCTATTATTTAAATGAGATTCATATTCGGACGATATGCAAGAATATAATTAGTGAGATAATAAAATACAGCTGTATTGTTTATATTTTTAAAAACAATTTTTGTATGAAATTAAAATAATATTATAACGGCAATCATCATCGCTATATAGTATACGAACAAAATTGGTTTGATAATTAATCCATTTGATGATTGAATAAGACCGCAAAGAACTCGCGCACCAGCATTTCTATTTAAATAATAAAATAGGATTTTCTTTTACGATGTACAAAATCATACCCGGTTGTATTACTATCTGAAAATCCTCCTTGACCACCATCATCACGCAAACGATGTACAATAATAGTTCGATTTACAATGGATTGCGTTTCATTATATAATTGAATTATCCAGTCTTCCATATCAATATCAACAGTACCATTCTCATTAGTTGTTAAATTTCCAAGATCTCCAACATGTCGATTTCGTATGTCAGCCGTACGAGGACCATGAGTAGTATCTAAAGAAAAAAAGAAAAAAAAACTTTTTCTACCTACATTAATGACTTTAATCTTTTACTATAAGGATTAAAATGACCACCAGCTGCTGTACAGTTGGGCATACTTTTTGAGACTGGATATACATGAACATGAAAACCCTAAAATTAAAAAAAAAAACAATAACACAAAGATTTATTTCTTTTTTTATTATGCACGACATACATGTGCACTACTAGCATTGAGTCCTGAAAGTTCACCAGTTATACGAACAGATGTAGTAGCATTCTCTTGTTTGAATGTCAAAATTCCATAAGACGTTTCTGAATTATCAGCGTATAGAATCGCTGTAGCTTTCATGACACATTGTCCTTGATGAATCAACAAGAATAAAGTGCTTACAGTTAATATAAACATGATACGTAATCTAATAAGAAGAAAAATCTTAAATTCACGTATGTACAAATGAGAAAATGATCGTCATAGAGGCAAGCCCACCTTAATAGGTAACACCGAAATGTTCTATTTTTTATTTGAACAAAAAAAGTGCAGCATTTTCATACAAATTTCCTTCCTTTTTTTTCTATCAAGCATTATATTTGTACGCCCTTCAATTAACCCGCATATATCGGCTACTTAATTCAACATAAAGAAACCTAAAAACAACAGTTGATAAAGAAAAACATAAAGAAAAATCTCATGTGTTTGAGTCAGGTATGGATTAGTTTTGCCGCTGTTTTTTCATGCGAAAAACAAAGCATAAAAACAATACAATTTGATGTGAGAAATGGTATAATGAAAGAAAGGAGAATATAACGTGACAGTATTGGATTCAATTTTTTTATTCTTCACAAAATATTTACATATATAAATTACTTTTACTTGCTAAAAGGAAGAGATATATCTGTCCTAGTTTTTATATTTTACATTTGATCTATTATGTTGACATGTAACCACCTTTACCTTTTCTTTTTTATATTTTTGTAAGTGTCTTATCTTATAGACAAATACCAAAAATTCTCTTATTCCTTTTTTTTCTTTGTTAAGTATATGTATATAGCATTAAAAAATCGATAAAAACATAAGTGATTGTTGTAATATAAGCGTAATCGAGACGACGACGAATAATGTTGAAAATAACTACAAAGACTAAGGTGAGAAAAAACTAATTTCCTTAGACAAAAATGAATAAGATGCTGAGTATCTCTCATTTTTTTTTTCTTAATAATATAACGACAAGAAACTTATATTTCATGAGATTCTTTTTTTTTTTTTTTAAGAAAAGTTATACAACACGAGACGAAAAGGGCAAGAAAACAATAAAATTAAATTGCTTAAACTTTCTGAAACTGGATGTAGAAGATAAATATACCTGTAGCAAGTACAAGGAAATAAAAAGAATGGACATGTAGAATAAAATATATGATTTATTGATATCAACAAGTCAATAAACTTTGATAATTGAAAAAAAATCTTTAGCCTTAAAGCTGTTCTTTTTAATAGAAAAGTTAGGAGAAAAAAAAAATAACAGAAGATTCATTACAAATGGCTGATGATTAAATATAATCATTATCAGCGTTTCGTTACAGTAATTTCATTAGCCAAGTTCTTTGTTTCTCCTAGAAATCATTGACAACATTTTTTTTTTTTTTTGATGAATCATTTAGGTTTTTCTTGTTACAATTTTTATCTTAATATCAATTGTAAAACATGGTTATTGTGCAATGTCACCATATAAATGGATGTACTTTAAACCATATGGAAGTACAGTAAATCTTGAACCACTTTTGAATAATACTGAATGTATTGGTCCATCATCATGTTATTGGCTTTTACCTGATAAAGTTAAACGTTTATTTTATTTATCGAATGAAACCACAGCATCGAGATATTCGATATCATCGAATGGAACATTAACTATAGTTAATATTCAACCGAATGATAATGGAATTTATCATTTTTTTGCAGCAAATAATAGTGATTGGATTGTATCAAAATCTTTATTAAATTTACATGGAGCACCATTTGATTCACTTTGGTTGGAATATTGGCCTAATGTAAGATACTTATTAGGCTATTAACTTTATTTTCTATTGCATTCTTTGTCATTTATAATCTAGGTTGTCGGTGGACTTGTTGCAATGGCAGGTAAAAACTACTATTTTAAATATTTTATATTCTAAAATTTAATTATATAGCTGTTTTCATAACATTTGGTCTAATTATGTTAGCTGATAAGTATCGATATCGTTCACCTTCATCCTTATCAACGCGTCATATATCAAAACGACCAGGAACTGTTGAACCTATGCGTGACTCTGTTGTCATCGAACGAACAAATCCAGGTATGTTAAATATTCGTTTCAGTCGATGAAAATTCTAAATTGTTTCATTTTTTAGCATTTGTTAATGATGGTTATGATGAAAGTACAATGCAAAATCATGAGCATAGTCGACGTCCATCGACTAACAGTAACGCGTCTGATCTGCGCGTTGAAAAATTTTAAACAAAAACTATTTGACACTTTCATGTGCCCTATGAACCATACGTTAAAATATATATTTAATTAATAGTGAACAAAAGAAAACACTCTATTTTCCACAATGATAATAAATGATTTTTTAAAAGCTACATTCTCATAAAAACTATTGTAAAAACATTCATTCATTCTTGATGTGTAAAATGTTATGAAAATGAGATGAGTTTTTTTCCTAGTAAAAAAATAACCTGGTAGCAGTCTCAATAGAATATTCTATAGATCTTATTAACTTACTTGCTGTTAAATTAGAAAAAAGATGTTGTCACTTTGACATACTGATCCAGTCAAAGGTGTAAAAATACGTCAAAAAAAAAAGTAAGAAAACAAAAAAAATAAGTCATCAAAGGACACGTACATGGGAAAAATACACAAATAGATGAGAAAAAATAAATGTCTCTGGAAATATCAGGAAAAAAAACGATGTGTAATACTTTTAGTGTAGTAGCAGAACGATGAAATATATCGATGGAACAACTATATGTGATAATGTCTCGTTGCAAAACTGATAGAATGAAAAAGAAAGAGAAAAAAAATGTGCATGTCATGTCACATCATCCAATAACATAGTGTGGTAGAATTTGGGGATGCTGCAAAGAAGTAAAGGAATGACAACTACTCTCGGGCGATGTTTCGGTTTCGCTAATCAGATAACAAACTGATATTATTTTGGACAAAATCTCAACACACAATCATTTAACTACAGTCGCTTCATTCATTATTTACGTCGACGCTGAATTCGCAACTTGTTTGAATTTTGATCAGATCAGATTTTTGTATTCGAAAAATAAAATTTCTATCGTTTAACTTGAAATTTCTGCTCTAATTAATGACCAGTTCAAAAATATTCATGTCAGACTATTAATTTATATACAATACACAGTAACAACATGCATATTTTCTTTTCTATTACATAATAGCAAACAACTGCGTAATATAAATAGATAAAACATTAGAGTGTAAGTGTTCTTAACGATTCCGCTTTTGTAAATTAGTATTTTGAAACAATGTAGTTTTAATGAAAAGCACGAGAATGTTGACCATTTCTTACACAAAATAACTATAACTAAATCTCTGAATCAATATTATAGATTCATCATCAATGGAATAAGTCTAATATTAACCTTAAAAATAAAGCGACGTTTTTAAAAGGTTGAATGCTCTTATCAATTGAATGAGTTGTTTTCTTTCATTTTTTTTTTCATCAGATATAATATGTCCTGAGAGTGATGATGCAGAAAATTGCTTTCTATTGTTAAGATTAACTTCCAATATTCTCCTTTATATTCGCACAATTCACAAGTAATTTCCTTCAAAGAAACGAAGTATTTGTCAAACAAATAGAAATATGACATTTATGAAAAATAACAAAAAAAAAATACATGAAGCTCATTCAATTCTAATAATAAGATGTCGATATAATTGAGAAAATTTTTAAAATATCGTATACTTAATTTTATATACAAAATTAAGGATATAATATCAATTTTTATTTAATAATGGTTGTACAGCGAGCATTTTCGCACTGAAAACACGATCACATTTAAAGATTTTTAAATCACATTTATAGTGTTTTGGACAACAATGTTTATGATCGGAACAACAAATTCCCTCTTGAATTGGACAACATGAATAGTCACCCTCTGTTGAAATACAACAAGTAGAAGTTGCTGGACATACTGATACAGCATCTGGACAAACAATATCTGCATTTGATGGTGACTCTATTTCGGTATTTTTAGGAAATACCATCATTAATAATGAAAAATATAATATAATAACGAATTTCTTCATTATTGTACACGACGCATTAAACAGACTATCTTTTTCTTTTTGACTTTGGGTGTATTACGAATGATAAGAGAAATACTTGAGATATAATGTTTCTTTGAAAAAAGAATTAATCTACGAAGAAAAATGAATAAAAAACAACAGATTGAATATTTTCTCATAATCAATATCGTTTTGACAAAAACAAGAACATACGGAAGTATTCACATAGTATTAATAAAAGAATTACGTTTTAGCTTAAGAATCGAGTAAAAGTGGAAATGAGTATAACCTATCAATAGAATGGTCTAAAGTCAAAGAATACATCATTTTTTGGTATTCTTTCTATACTAAATAAAAAATCGGTAAAGACTGAATGCTTGCCTACTGTTAGGTCGTTAGAACCTATATTTGTTGCTATTTTATTAGTTTATATGCTCTATGACAATGAAAAAGTATAATCATTGATAAAATATTAGTGTTAATGACTTTGTGTATTTCATTACTGAGAAATGTTTTGATAATAGAAGTCAATCAATAAGGTAAAAATAACGTTTTTGCATTCTTATATGATTCACACTGAAGATTATCATTTTCTTGTTGCATTTATTTTTTATCCTTGTTTTTTGCTTGCGCATTGGCACAGATAGAATCTATTGAATTGGATTTATTTTGATTTTCTCGCATGTAAAATTACTCAAAAATGAAATATAACAAAGGAAAGTCGTCTGAGTTTGTAATGTTTTTTTTTTTGGAAACTTTCTTATATTCAAAACTTGATATTATTTAAATAGACAAGTATTTCTGAGAAAACGTTTAATCACATAAATCGCTATTTCCGTTTGAGTGTTTTCATGTCCATTTAGAAAAACACTAAAATTAGTTAGTTTCATCGTAAAAGATTCATGAAGACGCTGAAAAAAGTTCCTGTTACATCTGGAAAACGTGCAAAAAAAAATTTCTGCAATATTTTGACGTATTTAGTAGATAAGAATAACTTTTTTATGCGTAGTATATGTTAAAAATATTGTGAGAAAATATTCACACATTCTTCAGATGCAAAGGGGGGCTTTTTTAGCGTCTTCATGAATCGTTTATGATGAAAGTAGCATGACTTGATGTTTTGCTGAATGTTCGTGAACTCGGTCAAACAGGAGCAGCAATTAGTCTGTATAAATGCGTCATCAGAAATTCATGTCTGCTTGAGTATGCTCCTTATCAGTTCATTATCATGTTGCATACATTTTTCAAAGGAAATATTTAATTGTCAAGGTGAAACTTCATAATAAATGTAAAGAAACACTAATTGAACATCATAAATTTAACAAAATCTTTCGATGTGAATTTTGCAGGAGGAAAAGAGAGACTTTTTGTTAACTCTTGATTTTATGTTTAGCAACTGTAGATTCTTTAAATTTTAATCTACAGAATTATGACAATATGAAATCTGCCTTTATTTTTAAGATGATTAAGAACTATTCCTATTTCAAAGTAGTAAAACCAACAGAATTATAAAATATTTAGTTTAAAATGTCACTATATGGATATTTCAAAAAGAATCTGTGGTAGCCACAGATCTGTTTTAAACATCAAGTAATATTGTTTTTTTATTATGATACAGTAATTGAATTTCAAATGCATTTGAAATTTGGTACTGATTTATGATAATCAAAAGGATTCAAGAAACAAATGTATACATATTTATTCTGAATATAAAATATTTTAATGCCAACAATATGAAAATATAAAATGTGGTCAGATAAATAAGAAATATGTTTATCGAATGGACATAGATTTGACAAGCATTTTCTCACATGGCATGGCCGACGTAAAACAGTATTTCATTAAAAAAAATGATAATAGAAAGTCGAACATGCTTTTTATACATAATAGGGAAAAGTGCACTTAGAACAATTTATACGACATATTTTACTTTTAAAGATGAGTATTGTAATTGAGAATTGTAATAATGAAAATATAAAAATGCTTCGGTACTCTTCAAACAGAAGAATCCATAGAATTTTAAAAGTCGTATCAGAAAAAAAAGCATAACAATTGAATTCCTAACTGACTCAACTGAAACATTATTAAGCGAACTACAGATGAATAAACATTTCATCAGTGTATTCTCAATTAATCCATTATTATTTGACTGAAGACTAATTCGAGAAAAATAAGCTTTTGTCGATATTTAGTATACAGAACTGATTTCGTTGTTTTTTTTTGTGCATGTAAATTCAAAGATATCTAATTCAATAATTTGATGCAGAATTAATAAAAACAAAAGTACTTCCAAGACAAAAACAATTAGTTTTTTTTGTGAAAGTATGTTGTTTTTTGCTTGAAACTTGTTTTCAGAATCTTATGAAATATAGAATTGCAATGATACATTATTTTTCTATTATTTACAAAAGTAATCAGTAAATTTACTATTCTTATAGTCATTTATTTGAAAAACACAGCTGTTCGATTGAGAATGTTTATTATACACTATTATAGAACATGAAATTATATGAGAACGCTCTAATACCACTGTGCGAATATCAGATACAGAATGTTGTCAGTTTAAGTCTTCAATCAAGATACTACATCTTAATTTTTACTTTGATAATACAGTTGATTTACATTTGGTACAGAGGAATTTTGATTATCGGAAAAGAATGGCACGAATATATTTTGTTGCATACGTGCAAGTGTCAACAGTTTGCAAAAGATAAAAATAATAATATGTTTTGACACAAATAATGAGCAAATCTTAATGAAAAAAAAGAATTTTTTTTCTTTTTTATGTTATACTTATTATTCTGCATTTGGCTCCTTGACGAAGAACGCGATTAGTCATCATAGTTCTTTTTCTTTGCGTCTTTTGCATTGCTTTATATAATTTTACTTCTTTTCCTTTTACATATTCTATTGTTTTTTTATGTTATATCAATGAACATCTTTACACAGTTTGCAACACAACTTCTTATTAATAAAAATACGCTTGTGCAATTATTGAAAACATTAAAATGTTCAAATGAATTTATTAATGAATTTCGTAATGATCATATTTATATTGACGAAGATATAATAAGACGGAAAATTCGTATTTTATGTGACATAACGCAAGATGAATCTTTTCAAGATTTGTTGTGTCATGATAACGGTATTCAATTAGTTTTTCATACAACACCTCATGAATATCGTTTTATGCAATTTCGTATTAGTTTTGATATTAAAATTATTGCAATCATTTTGAATAATCAACAACAGACTATGCAATTTTTAATTAGTAATATTCAAATTAAATCACTTAATCATCTTTCAAAACCATTTCGATTTTGTGTTCAGGTAAAGAGAAGCGAGTTGTGAGTTTACAAATTTTATGATAAGTCAAAATTAGTTCAGTCAAGTGACTAAAGCATGAATAATTACAAATTGTCGTCGATATAATTTGAGTAGCTGAGTTAAGCTACTAACATATATTAACAAATGTGAAGCGTCGATTGTTAATATTGAAATATCTAGGTCTTTTCTATTCAAAATGAGTAGATGTCCTTTTCTATTAGCATTAAATTTCCTGAACTATTTACAAGAACCGTGTCTACTTACTATTTTTCTAGAATACAATACTCTTTTTGCATTAATTTATTCTATTAAAAGTAGAGTAACATGATGGTTTTCTAGGTGAAATTCACAAAAAACATTCTGAATATTTTGCCAACTATGAGAAGAACAAAACATCATCACTTATTACAATACTTTCAGCTTGGGATCCTACCTTTCTTATCATTAGTATCAAAATGTTGTTTCTTTACAAACTGAGGAGATAATTTATTGAATGTCAGCAATCAATTCTACAGTCTTCCTTAGTTAACCCTTTTCAGGTCGGGATTCTTTTTGTCGAGCAAAATAATGAAACACGGAATTAATAAAGTAAATTAATTTTTCTTTCTAATCAGCTGTATTGATCTTTCAAAGGCTGGTATAGCTCATATATATGTCGTTTGTACAAAACCATAGAGCAATGTCAAGCACATGAATGATAATTAGTACATATTCCTAGATTTGAACTGTTCAATGACGAAAAACGCACATATGCGTCTTCCGTCCCAAAAGACTTAATAATATGTGAAGTTTGAAATAATTAACTACTAGTAATTACTCAGAATTGAGGTTTCACTGGTGTAACTATCAAATTATAGATCTTATTCTTATCTCATACTGTTTTCACGCTTGTCTTTAAATGAAAGCATAAGACAAAAAGAAATCGTGATTGATCGTAAACTAAATATACTCTTTTTCTGCATCAAGAGAGATTTTCTGCGGAATAAACATCCAATATATTTACATATTCTAATTTTCCTATTAATTCAAGCGCATATTCATTAATACAGAATGGAATACACAACTGACTTCGTAAGACTTTTTAATCTTTGAACCTTGACTGAACTATTTATACTTTTGTCATGAATGATCATATAACTGTTGAAAATATGCATAATCCCATATCATCATTTATTTTTAGTCTAAAGCTCGTACTTTGGTTATTGATGAACTAGAACGCATATGCACAGAACAACATATTCCATATGAAAGACTGTTTAAAAATGTAAAACGTCCTTTAGCTTATCGAATCAACTTATCCAATATGAAAGAATTAGACCAATTACGTGAACGATATTTAATTATTGGTAACCGATCACTACTTGATTTAATACAAATAACATGGATTGAACATCGAGAACAAGCTATTGTATTAGGTTACCTTTTGAAAACATCATTAAATGAAAAATCAACATTTCCTTCTATTCAACAAGTGACTTCAGAGAAAAGTTCAATGTTATTATAAAGCATTAAAATAAAAGAAAAACATTTATAATTACTCTATTATTAATAAGGAGTGACGTGTTTTCTCATTTTTTCTCTCAACGATAGCATGCCATAAAAATCATAAAGAAAGAGCCAGTAGGTACATTTTCAGATGAGAAACTAATAGG